CCTCGCTCCTCTCGCTCCGCTCCGCTCCGCGCCCCGGCCCCGGCCCCGGCCCGCCCCGGCCCCTCCATGCGCCTGGCCACCATGATCAAGAAGCTGTGCCCCGGCGAGCCCGAGCTGAGCATCCCGGCCAAGAACTGCTACCGCATGGTGGTGCTGGGCTCGTCCAAGGTGGGCAAGACGGCCATCGTGTCCCGCTTCCTGACGGGCCGCTTCGAGGAGCAGTACACGCCCACCATCGAGGACTTCCACCGCAAGTTCTACAGCATCCGCGGCGAGGTCTACCAGCTCGACATCCTGGACACGTCGGGCAACCACCCCTTCCCCGCCATGCGCCGCCTCTCCATCCTCACAGGTACGGAGGGACCGAGCCCGCGGGCCGCTTGGGGCCGCCGCCGCCCTGAGCCGGGGCTGCAGAGGGGGATGGCGGCCCTGAGGAGCCTCTGGCAGACTCCTGGCTCAGCTGGCAAGGACCCAAGCAGGAAGCCGCAGCCCTGAGGTCACCTGTGGACTCCTGGCTTAGCTGGCAAGGGACCCAGAGGGGAAATCACAGCCCTCGGGTCACTTGGAAACTCCTCGCCCGGTTTGCAAGGGACCCAGAAGGGGCATCGCAGCCCTGATGAGTCTCTGGCAAACCCCCGGCTTTGCTTGCAAGGGACCCGGGGGGGAAGTCGCAGCCCTGAGGTCACCTGCAAGCTCCTCGCTGGGTTTGAAGGGACCCGGAGGGGAAGAAGGTGCAGCCCCGAGGTCTCTGGCAAACCCTGGCGCACAGCCCCAAGTTTGTCTGCCAGCTCCTCACCTGCTTTGCAAGAAACCTGCAGCCCTGAGCTGGCTTGCAAGAGACCCCGGAAAAGTGGTACTCCTAAGGGGTGGCAGCTTTGTGCACGTGTTGATGCACCAGATCGGGGCAGTGGGCAGCCCTGGGCGTGCAGGGTGGGGGGTTGGCACAGGAGCCCGAAGCCAAGGGAGGCAGGGGAAGCGGGTGCCGGCTTTGCAGTGCTCAGGCAGCAGCCAAGCCCGCGGGGGCTCCAGCCAGAGGGATCAGGGTCTAGTTTGCAATGAGAGGAGCAAAATCCTGGGAGCCAAAGTGCCAGGCAGGTGGGCACCGGGACTGGGTGACAGCGCTGCCCTCCTTCCCTGCATAGCTCTAACGCGCCATCCTCTCTTGCCCCCTCTGTCCCACAGGAGACGTGTTCATCCTGGTGTTCAGCCTGGACAACCGGGACTCCTTCGAGGAGGTGCAGCGCCTGAAGCAGCAGATCCTGGAGACAAAGTCGTGCCTGAAAAACAAGACCAAGGAGAACGTGGACGTGCCCCTGGTCATCTGTGGCAACAAGGGGGACCGCGACTTCTACCGGGAGGTGGAGCCCCGCGAGATCGAGCAGCTGGTGGGCGAAGACCCCAAGAAGTGCGCTTACTTCGAGATCTCGGCCAAGAAGAACAGCAGCCTGGACCAGATGTTCCAGGCCCTCTTTGCCATGGCCAAGCTGCCCAGCGAGATGAGCCCCGACCTGCACCGCAAGGTCTCGGTGCAGTACTGCGACATGCTGCACAAGAAGACTCTCAAGGGCAAAAAGCTGCTAAAAGAAGGGGCGGGGGGCAGCGACGGGGAAGCCTACGGCATCGTGGCCCCCTTTGCCCGCCGGCCCAGCGTGCACAGCGACCTCATGTACATCCGGGAGAAGGCCATCGGGGGCGCACAGGCCAAGGACAAGGATCGCTGTGTCATCAGCTAGGAGCCCTTTTCCCGGCTCCCCCCCAGATCCAAGAAATGGGGGGTGGGTGAATAGCTTTGTTTCATAATAAACTGGCTGCCCAGGGAGGCAAAGTGGCATCTGCCCCAGGGTGGGGCAGGGAACCTCTGTCTCCTTCCCCTAAGGGACGATTTTCATCTGCTCCCTCCCACATTTTTTTATTTTGGTGGGGTTGGGGGGGCCGCTGCTGGAGCCTCTTCCGCAATGGGGGAGAGGCCGAGGAGGATTATGGAGAGCAGCCTGATGCAATGGGCTGGGAATGGAAAGAAGCCGTCTCCAGCGCATCTTCCTGAGCTGCCCGGCGCAGGGCAATGCCTTGCCTTCGCTCTACGGAAGAGACCTGGGGAGAAGGGGGTGGAAAAGACTTGAAAATCCAGCCTGCGTGAACACTTTCCAGGGACCGTGCTGTGTGGCTGTGTGCATTTGTGTGTGCAGAATCCACCCCTGCGTTCCTGCAGACACCTGGCAGGTCCCCCCGCTGTCCGCTCACCCGAGCAGAGGGCAGGGTGGCGGGGGCGGGGGGTCACAAATGGACTTTTGTTTACATTTGTCTTGTCTGATTTGCAAAAAAAGGGAAAAAAAGAAAAAAAAGCATTTGTTTTTTATATATAAAAGATATAGGCACTTTATGTATGGTATCTGTTTGTCCTGGACATGAACAAAATCTTATCCAAGTGTTTTTACAGTGAGTGACACTCAGTGTTTTATTTTTTCTACAGAATAAAAAGCTTTTTAAAATGAAATTCTGCCCTGCCTCTGTCTCTGCTTCCTCACTGGGGTTTCTTAACATCCTGGAAGCCCACTGCTTTCCCCTCTGGGGGGTATGAAAAAATCCTGTGCTGACCAAGCGATCCAAAGTGTGAGTGACTTTAAGATGCCCGCCCCTACCAAAACACGCGTCCGCCCCGGGACAAAGATCCCCGTTGTCGAAAACATCCGAAGAGATCTCGCCGAGACGGCCGAAGGATGACGGGGACAGGTGAACAGCCCGGCTCAACCAAACAGTGGCTAAAACTTTTTGCTCTGGCACTGAACCGTCCAGAGTGACCTCTGTCGGGCAGTCAGAAAACTGACATTAAGGATTCGCGTCCCTATGTCGGTGGTCACAAATAACCCACTGGTTGGGGCAAAATGACAGCAACGGCCCATTTTCACAACTCCCGTCATCCTGCTTTGTCCCCCTTACATACGCAGCCAAAGTGACCAGCTTTGCACTAAAAATCTCCTGTTCAGATCAGGCATGCAATTCCCCCCACACACTTTGCAGCGTGGAATAAAAAAAGGAAACTACTTCCAATCATTTCACTTGTGTCAGAGAGACTGTGTTTTTTTACTGATTAGCCTTACAGGTATGACTGAGAGTCCTGGAAGTGAATGGGAAAAGGGAGGGGAGGAAACCCATTCTTTTTTTTTCATATTGTTGACTCCGGATTTGATGCCAGGTTTCAGAGCTGTTGCACCCAGCAGTGGCCACTGGTCTCGATTCCCTAGAAACCGGGTTGTATGTTTAGTTAGTTCCCCCTCCCTCCCCAGCCAGCAACAGGGATTAGATGCATCACTTGAAAATAAAAGGAAATTTGCTTTTGAGGCCACAACAATTATTGGGACATTGAGGCATTGTGTGAAATAACCCTTTTTTTTCATTTGGACACCGACTAGATACCAAGTCGATGGAGTCACTTTGCATTGCAATCCCCCCAGGGCAAAACGTCTTCGGTATTGTATTTGCTTTTTCCATCCCATCAGTCGGTGCCAGGGCACCGCTGGAATGCCTAGTGAAAAATAAAGCGAGTTTCATTCATGAGAAACAGATGAGGAATTTATTGATCTTGGGAAAGTTGGCAGAAATATCCTGCCCGTCATCACCAGTTGTCCCTTTGCTTTGCCTGTTCCAGTGCCGCGTTTCCCTGAGACAAGGGAGGTTTCTCCACCTTATCGCCTTCCCCAAGCAATGGCCATTTTATTATACACGGGCTGCAGAATGGTTTGTAGGCTAAGGGTTATTTGAAGCAGCCCAGCACCATGTCCCTGCTCTTGCTGCTGTTCCCAGAGAAAGATCCTCGCCTGTCTTCACCGAGCTGCTCCCCATTTCCCTGCAGCTTTGTGTTCTTTGAAAATCAAACCCACTACATAGGCTGGGGCCCAGCCAACGTGCTGCACCCCAGCTGGGAACCGCGCAAGTACAAAACGCTGAAATGCTTTTATTCATCCATCAGAACCAATGCCCTGCACCCCATCACACCAGCAAAGGGCCTTTAGCTCCGTTTCTCATGAGAGCGGCATGCGGTGACCGATCAGGGAACTCAGAGCCACAGCTCAGCTCCCCGTGCTCTATTTTTGCCTTCATGCAATGCAATGCTCAGCCTCCAGCTCATGCAAAGGGCCGTATTCTGCCCTCTGTAACATTCATGGACACCCTCCAGGATGGAGTCTTGTCCCTGGTGTCACTGCACTGAAGCCAAGGTGCTCAGGATTAGACCCACTCGGACTGGGCCATGTAACAGAAGGGAACCGAGGGTGTAGGACTGATCCGTGTGGTCTCTCTGCATTTGTCAAGCAGCCAGTGACCCAAACCCCTTTTGCACGTGCCCCCAGTCTCTGCCCTTCCTGGGGGTTTCACTCTCAAGCCACTTCCCTCCTGCTTTATTACACAGGGTTGAAATGCGGCTAAGTTTGCCACTGAGCACAGTGAGAAGCCCAGGACTAGGGAGCAAGACTTGGTACAGCCAGGTGCTGTGCAAACTGGTCCCAGCCCTGCTGGGACACCTGCGGTGGTCCAGGCCTGGCTCTTCTCCAGCAGGCACTAGCAGCTGTGCTGACCCGAGTGACACTGTGATATTGCAGAGCAAAGCTCAGGTTGGGAGGGGCGCTCCCATGGCTGATTCCACACTTGGGACCCAAGCACTGATCCTTCAAGCCCTTCCTCACCAGCTGAAGGGGCTTCAAAAAAGCCCCACTCCAGAGTGGCTGTTGCACCAGACAGCTGCACTCTCCCGCAGCCAACTCCTAGGGATGAATTTGGCCTGGTTGTAGTGCTGAATGGCAGGGGCCACCTTGCTCAAAGTGCCTTGCCTCTGAGCTGATTTAACCAAGCAGGGAGCAAGAGTCCCGAGAGCAGCCAGACCCAGGGGTGTGATCTGGGAACCCATCTTCACCCAAGGACACCGGGAAGCCCTCGCCTCAGAGCTGGGCTGGACTCTGCTCTTGGCCCCGCAGCGCGCTCCCTTGCAGCCTGCTCTGGGCTGACAGCAGAGGAGCAGGGAGCAGACTCCAGCCCTGCACAAAGCAACTGCCCCGTGATGCTGCTTAGCCCCCCACCCCACCACTGCTCACGCACATCCAGGCTCCATAGCTGGGAATTCAGCAGGAGGGTCCATCCCCCTTCGCCCCATCTGAAATTCTAGCCCCCCAGGAGCTGCACAGGCTGGGTGAAATGGCTCCATAGGCTGGACCCAGTCTGCACCGGGTACCCCCACCCTCCCACTCAGAAAAACACCATGAAGACGTGCCAGCCTGGACAGCTTTCCCAGCCTTTCTAAGTCATGCCCACATTTTGCCCTCGCCCACTCAGTAACCAGGCAAGAGCCATTCAGAGCGTAGGAATCTTTACTGGGACCCCTACAGGGACAAAACATCCTCTACAGAAGCAGCCCCTCTCTCCCAAGAGGCCCCAACTGCATACGCACGCGGGGAATGGTCTTGTCCCAGGTGCCGGGGGCTCGTGATGCTCCTCTCAGCATTCGACTGCTTCGGCCAGAGGCAGAGCTGAGCAAAGTGGCAGCACGCGCGCCCTGTGCCCGGGGGTAACTGTTCGACACAGAAAAGATAACCCCCAGCTCATTCACCCCTGTGGTGAGGGGGGCGGGGGGGAGTGCAAGGCTTTCTGTCTGCCTGCATTAGTGGGGAAAAAGAACAGGCATGGGTATCAATACACACAGTCCCAGGGCAGATCAAAGCAAACCCACGGCTGCCACCGTGCTACAGTACAGCATGTTCTCCAGACTCCCTGTCCCCAAGCAGCTGGCACTTGGTAGCGACAAGGCAGGAGAGCAGGGAAGCAGGGAGAAGGTCCCAGCTCAGGGGAGCTGTCACTTCCTGTCTACTCCTTGGGGATTTCGAACATACAGAGGCTCTTGTATTTCTGCAGCAGCTCGTTCTTGGTCCGGACCTGCTCCCGCAGGTTGTGCAGTTGCTGCTGCTGCTGCTCGGGGCTCACGCCAATGCCAGGCATGGTGTTGATCATCTTCCTCATCTCCTGGAATTTGGTCTTCAGCTCATTCAGCACCTGGTGGACATCCTGGCTGTCCTTGTCCATGCTGCGGGGGACAGAAGGAAAGAACCGAGGCTCATGTCTCACCTCAGAGACCCATGGGGCTACCCCCCCAACTACAGCCTCCCACTGCAGCTCCCTGGTCGTGGGGTCCAACCCCTCCAGGCAGCCTGGGAAGAGGGGCACACCCATAGCAATCAAACGGGCATGGTGAACGATTACATTTTTGCTTGTTTGGGGCAATGCGGATGAAGTGAGGGACTCCTGGAGGCACTGACCTGCTCTTGGACTGGGTCTTGTTACACACGCATGTGCACACGCACTCTGAAGGTTAATCACACGAGGTCTCCTCCAGGCTGACACCTATGATCCATGCCCACAGCTCACTCCTTTTGGTGCATTTTGTCCAGCTGGGCCAGAACTACTGAGAGGGCCCAAGGTAGAGGAGGAACTAGACCAGCCTAACTCTGCTAGCACCCTTTGCCCCTCACCTCTATTTAGTGGGCACACAGCACTTAAAACAGGGCTCCGACCTCCCCTGGGGTGGGGAAGGAGGGGGGTGATTGCACCAAATACAGATAACGTAGTGCAAGAACATTACCAGGAGCTGAGAGGCAATTGGCCACACACTGCCATCAGGCTAAAAATACCCTCCTTGAACTCAACAGAAAAAGAGCACTAGAAAAAACCCCAACGCTTCACAAACGACTCCCCGGGGACACTGCTCAGCCCTGCTCCAAGCGTGCAGCCCCTTGCCCCTCCAACCGCTCCGCTTCGCACCGCAGCCGCCTTGGCGCCGACTGCTCATTAGCGTCTGCTCTGGTATTGTTCGTGCCAATAAAAGCCTCACCTGGATTGGAGCAACAGCCACACAAAGCCGTTGCTAAATAGGTGCGGCAAGGGTTTTAAGGGCCTTTGAAAGCCAGGACCCATTCACTAGTAAGCTCTAAAAATAAAGGCCACTCAGCTTCACGGGGGTGGTGAGGACTC